TACAATAAATGATCCTCAAGTGGCAAGAGAGAACCACAGTTGAACCTTGGAATCTGAACCATACACGAAATGCACAGGAACTGAACCCAGAATATCAGTTTGAGACACTGACCATTCAGCCATGCTAAAAGAGTAATGAATTTAAATACCTCGTCCACCATGTTGTCCATCTCTGTCACCATATCCACCTAAAAAGAAACAGAAAATCGGGTCAGGTATATGCAGTGTTGCATCAACCCTTTAAACCCCAGTATCCACATACAAATTCTCTAAGCTGATCTCTATACATTTCCTAACAGAATTAGTTGAGAGAACTTGATAAAAGATCAAAGCATTATCTCTTTGATGATCATTTTGTTAATTTATTATCCTCAGAATAATATTTTTTCCCTAAATTGTGTATTGAAAGTAAGGAAAAAATTTATTTGTTTTCTCTGACAACTTGACACCAGCTGTCCAATTTCACCCCCTCCCCTGGTCCCACCCCTCATCCCTTTTCACCATTGCCTAAACCTAGCTAACATAGGAAATCTCTCTACACAGGATTTAACCCATTTTTATTTAACTTATATTTTATACCAGTAGGTAACTATTTGTACCCCTACCATGAGAATATCCCCCTCCACCTCGTCCTCCTCTTCCTCCACCTCTGCCACGCCCACCTTCTTTGCGCCCTTCGGCTATGTCAACTCTCAGAGATCTTCCTTGATTGCCAATTTCCTAATATTAACAAAATTTTAGTTACATTATCACATGGCATGAATAGCAGAGCAGGCTGTCCAGAAGGTATTTCTTTGAATTCTTGTAGGGGTGCATGCCATGAAGTGGCAATTAAGGGGCAAGGTTTCGGTGTGCTGTGAATATATAGTGCTTAAGTACAATAACAATTTCCATGATAAACCAGCTGTCACATGATCCTGTTTGCTCAGGACAGAAGCAGTAAAGCCTGTCATGGTCACTGGGGGATAGTTTTGATCTCTTCCTTTTACTCTTGAAAATAATAATAATAAGATATTGCTGGGCCTTCAGCATTCCGGTACTTTCCAATGCAGGGTTGTCAAAAGTAGCTGGCTGCCAGTGAAAATCGCCGCCTTCTTGGTTACTTCCGGCTGGCTACTCTGCTCAGCACTTCTTTACAGATGGTTTTTTTTTAATAAAATATCCCTAGACTGGGCGCTTACTTTGACAACTCAGCTGACAAACCTGCAATGCACTGGAGTGAATGAAATTCAGGCAACTCAATCAGCCAGAATTTCATCATAAATGGGGTGATTTGAAGAAGCCCATATTCTTGTCTCCACAATACCCTAAGAATGATGTTGTTCCTGGCACGCACTGTATGTTGTTTACCAGTCATTTTTACTTTTGGTGGTGCTTGGTGTTATTAACAGTAAGGTAGGTCAGGACTTCCATGAACACTACCTGTGCTTACAGGGCTCAAAATAATTTTCAGACAGTGGCCAGACCTAATGACTGGCCAAAGAAATTTTTTGTCAGTCAAGCCTTGATTCTGACCAGTCAAAACATTGAAAAAAATTAACTTATCCTTGCTAAATTTTCTAATTATGAACGTGATTGTACAATAATGTATTTAAACAAAGAGACCAAAATCTAAGTTTACAGCTGTGGATTTGGCTGTTTGGCCAAGAATGAGGGTGTTCATGACCGGTCAACACCCAAGGTCAACATGACTGGCCAGTGTAGTTTTTGGCCAATCAAGTTGCCATTCT